TGTGTATGTGTGGTGTGTGGTGTGGTGTGTATGTGTGGTGTGTGTTGTGAGTGTGTGCGTGGTGTGTAAATGTGTGGTGTGTATGTGAGTTTGAGCAGAAGGGGGGGTCGGGATCAGCTGATGAGGGACTGGCTCTCCCGCAGTGGTCCCCCATCTCCCTGCCAAGAACCCACCTGCAGGGGTCCCGCGTGCACACGCGCGAGCAGGGGAGAGTGTGCACACACATATACACACAGCAGTCAGACCCTGGGGCTTTGCCAGCTGTCGCCTCCTGGGGTGTGACCACAGAGCAGCTCAAGATCGGGCCTGGCCCAGAGCCTGCCCTCCAGCCCCAACTTGGGCAGGCCAGTGTGTCCGCCAGGCAAGGGGATTTCGGGGACCAGGATGGGACAGTGAAGCGTGACTGGGGTCGGATGGAGGGGTCCTAGGCCCACCACTCACTCAGGGGCCTTCTCAGCTTGGGTGGGTGCCCCTGGTGGGCCCGAGACCCGGCCGCCTCTCCACTCTGATCCCACAGGGCTCCGAGAAGAAGCTGCGGCTGCAAGTCCCACCCCGGATTCGCAGGACACCGACACTGACCTTCTACAAGGTGAGGGGGCGCACAGGCCTCTGCTGCAGCCCCAGGCAGGGGTCCACACCCTCCTCCTGGACCCCCACCTGTGTGCCTCCTCTGCTCTGGGGGCTCTGGTGGTGGATGCCAGGGGCAGATGTGGCCGGCAGGAAGGGTGTAACGGTCCCTCTGACCCATCCCCCACAGCCCGACAACGTCCCAGTCAAACTAAACACGGCTGCCATCCTTCGAGAAGGGGCCTTGTACCAGCGGCAGGTGGAGAGAGAGTTGGAGAGGTGAGGGAAGCTGCTGGGGGAGGCTGGGACGACCCCCAGAGGCTGCTGCTCATGGGGCCCCTAGCTCCCCTTCCATGCCCTGGGCTGCAGGATGGGGCTGGGAAGGTGGGCATCTGCACAGAGGGCAAGGGGAGCAGAGGGAGTGGGCATCTTCGCTGGGAACAAAGGGTGGACGGGTCTGAGGCTGTGACTCTGCAGAGGACACGAATGTCAGCATTTACAGAGATCGCTCCAGCTCAGGGAGCCACTGAGCTGACCCCCAGCCCCCACAAACCTTCCTGCCAGGCCTTCTCTAAGAGGACGAACCCCTGAACTCGCTGGTCCACGGCGGCATCAGCTGTGCAGGAGCTGGGGGGCTGGCCAGGGGCATGGCGCGTAAAAGATAGGTGGGTAGGAGAGAAGGTGGGGGGTAGCCGAGGGGTAGGCAAAGGGGTGGTGGAGGCTGGTGGATGGATAGACAGGTGGACAGAGGTGTTGTAGATGGACGGATATAAGGATGGTGCATGGACATATGGGTGGTAGATGGATAGCCAGATGGACAGGGAGGTGGTGGATGGATAGAGGGATGGCTGGACAGAGGAGTGGGAGGTGGGTAGTCGGGTGGACAGAGGGTGGATAGTTGTTGGGAAAAGAGAATAAATGGACAGAGATAGTAGATGGACAGACAGTAGGCAAGGGAATTGCAGGCAGGTTGGCAAAGGGATGGTGGGTGAGAGGGTGGATAGATGGATGAGTGGCTAAGAAAGGGATAGACAAAAGTGGGTGCTGAGGGACAGTGTTTGGGTGGGGGTGGGAGAAGAAGCAGGTCACCCACACCTGGGAAGGCCTGGCAGGGCTGCACGGCCTGGCCCACAAAAGTCAATCCACATCGTGCCCTCCGGCCTTCCTCCCAGGGTGGACAAGCTTGTGGACGGGGCTGGGGACTTCTCCGAGTTTCTCGAGTGGCAGAAGAAGATGCAGATGAAGGACCAGGAGGAGCGGCGGGCCGCAGAGGAGTGCCGGAGGCTGCAAGGGAAACTCAGCCACGAGGAGGCCATCCTGGCCCGGCAGAATCTCGTGCAAGAGAACAAGCAGAAGGCGGAACAGAAGAAGGAGGAGGTGAGGGGCTTCACTCCAGGGCAATGGGTGTGGGTGGGGGCTGGGGTGGGCACTGAGCCATCTGACCACGGCACCATGGCCCAAGGAGAAGCCAATTGTACACGGCCCGTGTGTTAGTCTGGGTGGACCAGAGAAACAAATTCATAGACACTCGTGTATATAGGAAAGAGCGTTATATACATTAAGAAAGCATCCCAGCCCAGTTCAGATCAAGTCTATAAGTCCAATATTAGCCCACACATCCAGTATCAGTCTGTAAATTCCTCTTCAAACTCACATAACACATGCAATGATACTGAGTACGGAAGATCACAGGCCATTGGGCAGAAAGTCTTGTGGACCCAGTGGCAGTGGAAGCATCTCAGCACTGGCGTGGGTCTCCACGTGGCTCCTCCAACTCCAAGACTCTAGCTTCCATCAGCATAGCTCCACGTGGCTTGTCAACAGGAATGTCTCTCAGGGAGTGAGTGAGTGTCCTGCCCCCAGCAAGCTAATTATCTCCTTTGTGCCTCCAAATGAAGTCATCAAGCTGCAACAAGATTGACAGGCTGAACGCCATCCCTTCACGCATAATAGTCTCAACTTGAAAACAGATTATGTAACTACCACAGCCTGATTCTGTGGTCATTAGCTTATGGGCTGACCCCAGGTCCTTTCCTGCCAAGACTCAGAGGGTGGTGGTGGATTCTCTGCCTTCCTTGAAAAGGGTGGGCTCAGTGCACCGACTGACCACACGTCAGGACCAGCCTTCTGCACGGCTGGCCCCACTGGCAGGGCCAGGAGTCCATACACACCTGGGTGCCCTTCAGGGAAGACTGGGCTTCTAGCAGAACATCCAGACACAGGGCCCCTTGGAGTTTGGCATCCTGACATGCAGTATGGTTTGTGACTGTTGGCCTTCCCAACCAGAAGTGCCCAGTGATTGTTCTAGACTCCTCATCCTCCTCTGAAGGCAGGCTGCCAAGATGGGGGCTCCCAATCTGTGTGTCCCACAAGCCCAGGCCTTCCAGGGAGACCAGGAGGGTCTCGGCAAGCCAGGCCAGGCGTGTGGCTCTGCCTGTCCTGAGAACAAGTCCTTCTGAGGGCCAGTCACCAGGGACACTCTCAGAAGTCCCAAGGAATGCCTTCCCCAGATTGAGTTATCTGCTGGTGTCTGTTTGTGTTCAGTCCCTAGCTTTGCTCTTGTCTTTCTGTCTGTCTGTCTGTCAGGTGTTCTCAATTCAGGCCCAACTCAGAGTGACCCCTATGTACAACCCAGCAAAACGCTGCCCGGTGGCCCCATGCCGCCCTCATCACACGGCTGTGCCTGAGCCCATTGTTGCAGCCGCTGTGTCAATCCATCTCATGAAGGGTCTTCCTCTGTGGTGGGGGCCTTCCCCTTGATTCCCCCAGGGACTAGTCCCTCCCCCACCCCCACCCCCCACCCCCGCCCGATCACATGTCCACAGTGGGAAAATAAACTCACTGTCATCGAGTCAATTGTGGCTCATAGGGGTCCTATAGGACAGATGTGGCAGTTACATAATCTCCTGTCAACTTGCAAAGGGGTGGAGTCTGGCCTGTCAATCAGGTTGCAGCGTGATGCCCTCCTTTGAAGGCACAAAGGAGATAAACAGCTCACTGGAGACTAGAGACACTCACTCCCTGTGAGACATCCTGTTGACAAGTCACGTGGAGCTGCACTGATGGAGCCAGAGCCTTGGAGCTAGGGGAGCCACGTGAAAACCCACGTCAGTGCTGAGAGGCTTCCACCGCCACTGGATCCAGAAGACTTTCAACCCACTGGCCTGTGATCTTCCTGCATTCTGCATCACTGCACGGCTGCGTGAGTCTAAAGAGGAAATTATAGACTGGGTATCAGGCATATAGGGTAATATCGGACTTAGGGACTTGATCTGGAATGTTTGGACTAGTATCGACATATGGATTAATATCAGACTTATGGACTTGATCTGGAAGTTCAAGATAAGAACATTTTTGAGAATGGCACAGGACCGGGTGTTGTTCTGTGCATTGGGTCGGTATGGGTGAGAGCCAATTCAACAGGGCATGACGGCCCCCTGTGAATTTCCCAGCCAGACAGTCGCTCTTGGGCATAGAAAGCCCTCATCTTTCTCCCCTGCCCATAGGGCAAAAGGTACATTCCTGCCCCCTCCCTTCTAAGGAATACTCCGCTGTGCAGAAGCCCACTGTTCTTCCTCCTCTGCCACCACCACGCCCCAGCCGTCTCTCACTGTCTCTGGTGCCCCTGCTTTCCGTCTCCTCGATGGAGGAGCTTCAGCATAGGGCTCTCGGGATCCAGAAACTGTACTCCATTCCCGGTTTTTTCCTTACCTTCAAGAAGGAAATCTGGAATGGCTCCTTTTACGTCTAGAAAGATGGCCACACAGACCAATCCTCGTGTTCAGGTTCCTTCCACCCTATTCACGTGGTCCCGCCCCTCCTGGGTTCCACATACCTTGCTCGCATTCTTAGCAAGATGTCCACTGGGCCGCAAACACCTCACACCGGCACAGGCGAGCACTGTGGGCTTCCGCCTGGATAAGGACTCAATGTAAGGAAAACCCAGATCCTCAAACGTGGACCCATGGAGAAAAGACCGAAGTGGTCGAGGATGTCGTCTTGCTTGGATGCACGGTCGGTGCTCACGGCAGCCGCCTCAGGAGATCAAAGACGTGGTGCGCAGGACCCACCTGCTGCACAAGGCCTCTTTAGAGGGCTGAAGAGCCAGAGGACACCTCAAGGACTCAGGTGCGCCTGAGCCCAGCCACGGTCTGTCCTGTCACCGTGTGTGTGTGTGTATGTGTGTGTGTGTGTGTGTAAGTTGACACTGCAGAAGGAAGGATGGCTGTGTCTGTATACTGAGGAATACTGCACGTGCATGGACTGCCAAAGGGAAACAGTTCTGTCTTGGAAGAGGCAGCCAGTACGCTCCTTAGGAGGGCAAGATTCCGTGTCACGTTCTTTGGGTGTGCGGTCAGGAGAGACCGGTCCCTGGAGAAAGGCGTCACGCGTGGTCAACTAGAGGGGAAGTAAAACAAACAAAAACAGGAAGACACTCGACAAAATGGATGGCCACGGTGGCAGCCAGTGGGCTCAAACGTAAGGACACTTGGCGCAGGCACCAGAGCAGGCAGTGTTTCGTTCCAGGGTCGCTGTGAGTCCAAACCGACTCGTTGGCGCCTAGCACCAACTGCTCTGCTCTGCGGAGCAAGCCGCGGAGACCAGCTGGCGGCCACAGCCAGGCCTTCATCGCGCAGGGCGGGGAGGGTTCCTCCAGTTCTTCCTGCCTGAGAAGCCCCGAGAGTGGACTTCCGTCTGCCTTTCTGCCTCCAGGTCTTGGCACGTTTCATCAGAATGCTGTCTTCTCAAGCCATGCTTCGAAATCTCTCCCACGAGCTTTAGCTCTGTGACTCTGCGCTCAAGAGCAAGCGTCCAGGTCTCCTCTGACATCCACTTGGGTCTGGTTTGCTGTTTCTTCATGGCCACGTGCTTTCTTCGTTTCACATGTGATGTTCTTGATGTCAACTGCAACTCCTCTGGTGTTTGGCCACTAGTGGTAAACGCATCAGATTTATTCTGGAGAAACCTTCTAAGTTTAGGTGGGGTATACCCCAAGCTTTCGACGCTGGTGGACTTGCTCAAATGAACAGTAACACAGGTCTGTAAAGATGACGGCCTTGGGGGAAAAAACCCTAAGGGGCAATCCTACTCTGTGTTACGTACGGGGTTGCAGTGAATTGGAATTGACTTGACAGCCACAGATTGGGTTGGCTTGGTGGCTGAATGGCCAGATGCTAATGGAAAGGTTAGCTCCCTTGCCTGGCCATTTGTTCCCATAAAGATTTCAGCCTAGAAAATTCTATGGGGTATTTCTACCCTGGGTCAGAAATCGACATGAGGGCACCTAACAGATTTTGACATTTTTTCCTCTCAACGAATGTCCTCTTCTGCCCTTAAATCCCACCCAGGGGAGCATAATGAATTAGGTCGGAGGGTCGCCCTAGGCCCCTCTGGGCTGCAGCAGTTCCACAGCTCTCCTTGTTGTTGATGGCCTGGACGATTCTGCGGAGTGGTGATCATGCAGTTGTAGAAGCGCACTCTCTGGGGTGTGTGCCTGACTCATGGCTGCCCTGTTGGCCTCCACCACCCGGCTGCGAGGACTATCAGTTGCTTTTCTTGTCCGTAGTGGGTCCTCCTTTTCCTGTCCTCTGCCCTTTGGAAGGTGGGGGGGTGTCAGGGAGTGTGGTCCCCGCTGGCTGCCGGTGAGGAGGGCTTCAGCGCCTCCACCTCTGTGAGGACCAAACCACTCCCCCAGTTACTCGGAGACCCGGGAGAGAAGTCTCTTCCTTCCCAATAGATTTATTCGCTCCATCGTTTATGAAGCCTGAGGAGAAGCTGCCTTCTCTTTCAACCCCATCGCTCCACAAACCTTTTGAAGCCCTCCATAGCTGCGTCATTGCGGACTCACAAATATTGACTACGGGTTTTTTGTTACCATCCTTATTTGTCTTGTTGTGTAGATGGCCCTTTCAGGTGGCTCCTGTGTCGCTGAGGCACGCCCCATCCTTGTATTCTTTCTAGTTTTTCCTTAACTTCTGGCACTGTAAGATGCTCCAGGTTCATTCCTGCCTCGCCCGAAAGGCCGTTTCTCCAAGGTCCTGTTTCCCTTTATTGAAGGGTGACACAAAGTCATTTTAACAGTGCCCTAGTCCCCAGTGTGAGGTTGTAGCCAGAAGTCCCCCACCCCCACGTGAGTCAGATAGTCAGGAATGAATCCTGACAGCAGGAGAGGGCTCATTTCCCTTTCCTTCCCTGTGTGCTATATGTGTTTGTTGCTACAAGTTGCCCTCTGAGGACTGCTTTTGCAAATGGCCCAAAGGTTTGGGTATGTTGTGTTTTCATTCTTATTTGAATTCAAGGATTTACTTTTAAATTTTCCTCCATTACCCAGTAGTTTTTAAGCAGGGTGCTACTCAGTTCCTATGTGTTTGGTTTTTCTCTCCCCTTCATTCTTCCTACTGCCGATTTCAAATTTAATAGCATCATGATCTCATAAGACACTTTGTAGAATCTTGACGTCTTACGGCTTACTGAAGCTGCTTTGTAGCCTAACAGGTGGTCTGTTATGGAGTATGCCCCGTGTGCACTAGAACATAATGCATATGGAGTTTTCGTTGGTGGGGGTGTTCTGTACTTGCCTATGAGGTTAGGTTGCTTGAATGGATGTGCTCATTAATTCTGCCACGTCTTTGCTGAGTTTCTTTCTAGTGGCCCTGTCCCTCCTTGGAAATGGTGCATGAAAGTCTCCTGCTATGTTTATGAGGTTGTCTATTTCTGTCTGCAAGTCTCTTGAAATGTGGTTTATCGATTGGAGGTTCTTCCATTGGGTCGGTAAGGGGGTGGCCATTTCAAAGCTGCTTCTCCCAGGTCAGCAAATGCATTACATAATGAATTCTTTATGCTCAGTCTCTATGTCCAGGGGCCAAGCTACCCAAGGCCATTTCTCTTGGCTTACTGTACAATTGAGTAGGAGCTCCCTGGCAGCGCTGGGCCAGTGACAGGCATTACAGGTCCCACCTTGCCCTGCACAGCATCCTGAGCATTTAAAGCACCTCTCTGAATGGCTCCAGACTAGAAATGCTCTTGCTGTTTTTCCACTGTCATGGGTTAAGTTGTGTCCCTCTTGATATGTGTTAGGCTAGCTAGGCCTGACAGTTGTATGATGCTGTATCATCCCCCCGCCCCATCGGTTGGAAGAGGAGTAGGGTTGAGATCGAACACCACCACTCAGGTCACAGCTCTTGTCCTAGGCAAGTGGGGTGTGGTCTGCATCACCTTTCACCTTTGAGATAAAACCAACTGCCGTCAAGTCCATGCTGACTCATAGCAACCCTGTAGGACAGGGAAAAACTGACCCTGCGAGTTTCTGAGACTGGAACTCTTGACGGGAGTAGAAAACCCCATCTTTCGCCCACAGAGTAGAGGTAGTTTTCGAACTGCTGACCTGATGGTTAGCAGCCCAGCACCTAACCATCATGCCACAGGGGAGAGAGAAGTGAGCAGAGAAGGAGGGGTGTCAATACGATCAGGAGAGAAGAGCTGGTCGTGCGGTGTATCCTTTGTTTCCAGGACCCTTGTGCCAGGGACCTCTGAGACCCAGGGATGATTGGGCCAAGACACATGGGATTCCCAACGAATACCAGGCCCACGGGTGTTGGAAGGCGACAAGGGCCTTCCCCCAGAGCACATAGAGTCTCCGCCTAGAGCTGGTGCCCGGGATCCAGACTAGCCTCCTAAACTCTAAGAGGAAACATTTCCACTGACGCCACGCACTGTGGCACTGCTGTTGTAGCAGTGCCCGCTGCTGACGGCATTCCCCAATGAGACTAGATCAGCGGTTCTCAACTGTGGGTCGCAACCCCTTTGGAGTCGCCTGATTCATAACAGTAGCAGAATGACAGTTATGTAGTAGCAACGAAAATAATTTTACCATTGGGGGCATTTCACCACGAAATGAGGAACTTTATTAAAGAGTTGTGGCATGGTGGCATGACGAAGGTTGAGAACCCCTGGACTAGAGGAAGCTGTGCAGTCTGCACAGAAGCAGACAGAAAACAGGTAATAGAGTAGGTGCACCTAAGCATGACAGAAGGGAGGGTGCTGGGGGACCCCTGCATTCACAGATGGCTGAGAAGCGGAAAGCCGCCTTCTGCGCTTACGGGGGGCCGCTCCGAGTCACAAGGACTAAATAGCGCACGGGAAGCGCTGTCCACATACAGCTGAGACAGGGCTCCCCAGGCCTGGTGTGCCCTCAGGGTGGCCTGGGCACTGTTGGTGTGCCCAGCCCCATCAGCAAACAATTACTATCGTGTCTCATCTGGGTGGGAGGGGGGACAGTGGTTGATGGGTTTCTGGGGAGATCTCTGGCCTCACTCTAGCTTCATCCTCAGATCTGGATAGGACATGGTGTGGTGCTGGGACTCAGACTGCCTGCCCTCCACCCTCCCACCCCCCCACACCCGACATATGACCACACTGAGAGGAGTATAAATGGTGGAACTTCCCAGAGGCAGCCAGACTATTATGGGGACCACCTGGTGCTAGGATTGGCTTAGGACCAGGGCCCTGAGTCAAGCCCCCCCCCCCCCACCCGCGACCCTTTGCCTCCCCTCACAGCCC